CATTCTTGCTTGCTTGCAATGGGACCTTTCTGCTCCTTCAACCTAGATTGGGGGTGTGTGTGGGGGGAAGCTGGGGTAAATTATTTAGCTGGCTTAGCAATGATGAACTGAAAAAACATATGAAAACTCAAATCTTTGAAGGGCAGATTGAACTGGTACTAAGGCTATATGTGCATAAGACTATTTGGAAATGTGTAAAAATAATTTGCTTTGAGTGACACAAATGGCAGCCTGGAAATGTTTCCCTACACAAATTAGAGCCAATGAAGGTAAAATGCTGAATTGAGAGTCTCTAAAACATGCTGTATATTAGAAGCGAGGTGCTCTAAATCAAGAGAGAAATCATTAGCAGCTATGTATTTGATGGGCACCAAGGCAGTCATACAAAGCAGACAGATCCTTAGGAATTATTTGGGACAGGTTTGAAAGCCTCCATGTACTTCTTCCTACAACTCCCCAGATTCTCAACTGTTCTGCCTCAGGGCTGCTTCCCAGCTATCCAGTCTCCCCCTCTTCATTCACATTGGATCTAGATGCAACCAAAGAAAAACAATAGATTTTATATCAAGAGGGTTATTTGCATCTTTGGGGACCTAAGGATTGGGTAACAACCCTTGTTTTGGAGCCTCAGACCCAGGCAAGAACCATTAGGCTCTACTTGACTTACCTTCCTGCGGTAAGGAAAGGAAAAATACAAAAGCTCCTGAAGGCAGAATGGTCACTGAATATTGGGGGGGGGGAGCAAATCTCTATAATTCCAAGTGTTCCAAAAGATTTGGACACTGTAAAATAATGCTAAAATTAATTTTAAAAGCATCCTAATAATGGAAGTTAGCATTTAGGATTCATTGGGCCTTACTAGATGCCAAACATCATTGCTGAGTGCTTAAATATATGACCTCCTTTGATTCGTAAAACAGCCATGTGAAGTAGGCATTAACTGGACGTTTATGGATGAGAATTTCATTTTCCCATTTCCCAGCTTGTCGGTTGTGAAGCTAGCCTCGTGTTCTTAGTCATTTCATTCTACTGCTCCCTGAGCCTGGGCTAGAAACAGTTGATTCAGACTCTTGAATGCCTCATTCTTCAGTACCGATTGCACCCAGTCATCACTGACTAAATACTTTGGCCTCACTCCCCTGCTTTACATCTTTTAATGGCTCCCATTGGTTTTGGGAGTAAAGTTCAAATTTCTTAACATGGTTTAGGACCATAATGATCTGACTTCAGTATATCTTTCTATGCACCTACTACCAAGTCCTTATACATAAATTTTGCTTCAGCTACATCTGCTACTTTGATGTGCCATGCTTTCTGATCTGCTTTGGCCCATTCACTTATGGTTAATTCTAACACGTCCCAAACACTTTCAAGACCAAGGTTGTTAGAAGCATTTCCTTAGCTCCCCAGGCTCAAATGGATGTCTCCACATTCTCTTAGCATTTTGTGCTTATCATATTATTACTTATTTTCTTCTGTATCTCATATAAGGTGGTGACTGACTTGGGGGCAGGGATTGTATCTTTTTTAATCTAAGACCTGGCTGACCCTAACACTTCATAGACACCAAATAAATACTGATGGCATGACTGAATGAAAAACAAAGACTTTAACAACTTCTGAGAGTAGTTCTACCATCTCCTTGGGTGAGGGACAAGGCAGAACAAGGCAATTAGTATAGCTGGAAGATGTGCTCACATTTTGAAGCAGCATCTATTAACCCAACTGCAGTATTGCTAGCTTAGGAAACCAAGTTATATTGAGTATGCTTATAAACTTTCTGTAACTGATGAGAGAAGCAAGATGGAGAGGGGCAGATAGTTAAGGAAAGAACTGGAAGACTCCTGGATATAGAAAGTCTGATATCAGTATGAACAACATTTTAGGGGGTGAAGACTATATACTGACTACTGCCCTTTTAAAATACTGAGACAAAGGATGGTAATAATTCAAATCACCAGTTTAATTTCAGATTAAGCACAGTATCAAACTTCCGAAATCAGTGACTGTGGTAATGATTAGTGGTTATTTCCCATTCATTTAAGTCTTGATGAAGGATAAGAACAAAGGCGGGGAAAGGCATTTTAGGATGTAATAGTAATAAAAATAGTCCCCATGTATTGAATACCAAATGTAAACATTTCTATTAATAAGTTACAACTGCTCCCTAAGGTGGGTATTACTATGTGCACATTACTGAAAATGGAGCAGAATCTCAGACTGGTTAAGTAACTTGCCCAAACTCACATAGCTCGAATGTGGTAGAGCTGGACTTTAAACTCAGGTCTGATTTTAAAGCATGTGCTCTTTATGACCACAGAGTCTGCCTTGAACGCATTCATTTTGAATTATTTCCACCTCCCCTCCTTGCTCTGCTTTGACTAAAAGAGAATTCAGTTACTCAAATTATACTTATATTCTCATATTGGAAGAGGATATAGAAACACTCAGATTCTTCCAAATCAATGATTAGATGGTAATTTTCAAATTGTGGTCTGTTATAAAAACATATCTGAATAAGTATATTATTTTCATATACCAATTTCAGGAAATCTGGTTTGGGTAAATATGTATCTCACACCTATATTTACAGTCTTATTCTGGGTAGGTGCATGGTTTTCAATGGAAGGATTTAGGATTTTAAAAATAAGACCTCCTAAAAGTTAAAAAAAAAACCAAAACTTAATAAGCAAGGGAATTACCATAGTATTAGGCATAGGGATTGTAGAGGGAAAGGTCTACAGAGGAAAAAAAAGCTGAAGGGAAGAAGCAATTGAAAGTAAGATCTGGCTGTCCAAGTGTTCAGTTATTGTTTCTGAAACTCCTCCCACCTGACATATCTGCACAGCCTGGCTTTGGAACTGGGAAAATAGACAACTGTGGGCACTATACATATTCATCTCTGGCTTGGCTTTTTCACTCTGCATGGAAGGTAGCTGAGATCTGCTTAGTTTGGCAAATCATGAAAAATGGGTTTCTCCACAGAGCTTTGCTTCTTCACTAGGACAGAACCCAGACTGATTGCTTGAGGCTTTATCCTTTTCTGAAATAAATCCCTAAAAGAAAGTGCAATTGAAGCATGTTTATAAGGAGAAGAATGCAGTGTTGGTACAGAAAATCAGTTGCTTGGGAAATAACGGGTGGAAATTTTTAAGTGTTGGTTATACAATATATTTGGATACAGTCATCTTTACCAGCTGTACCGATGGATGCAACTACCAACTTGTTTTGACTTTGTACAGGAATCAAAAACACATGGCCTGACATGACCATAAACTCTAGATCTAGATGGCTTAATTATAGAAGATTCCAGAACACTGACAATAACTCATCATTGGTTGGAATTAAATTATATACAGTAGAAACTCTCTTAATCAGTCTCTCTTTAGCCATTACTGGATTAATTGTGGTTCTCTATCTTCTTTATAAAATATATCTACTAATGCCATTGAATGCCCTAGAGTAATAGCTCTTTCTAGTACCTCTGTGCATCTCTGTGCCTGCTAACAATTGAGTTGTAAGCTTAAAAATTTAGAGTCAATTTTGTTTATTCCCAAGCCTGTTTATGTCAGTTTTACTAGTTTTTGTAACTATGTAATTTAACGGATCTTACATAACCTACGAAACACGAGTATAGTGGTTCTATGAAAACAGAATCAAATGCTTTGGAAAAATTCAGTAAGGGGGGTCATTAGGTAAAAATCTACTAATTCCATAGAGAAAAAACTTGAAAACATTGGGCAAATAAAAATCTAACTGGAGTAAACATTCAGATTACTTTGAATTCTTTAAATGTTCACTGTATTAAAACAAAACAAAACAAAACAAAAAATCAAAACTGGAAAACACAAACTGTATATTACATATAAGGCTTAGGCCAACAAGTAAAAAGACTTATAACTATGATCAGCAGAATGATATTCATAGCAAAGAAGTTCGCTTCAGCCAGGCTGCTCAGATTGTGTTTCTTGGACCACAGTAGTGGTATTATCAGGAAGTTTGTTAGAAATGCAGAATCTCAGGCCTCATCTGGGAGTAATGACCAGAACTGTGTTTTAACAAGCTCTTCAGGTGATTCTGAGGCCTAAGAAAGTTTGAGAAGCACTGCCCCACTGTATTCATCCATTACTGGAAACCCTACAAATGGATACAGCCCTTTTAGAAAGCAACACGGTACAAGACTCGTCAGGAATCCTGAGAAGTTCCTTTTTATTCTTACTCAGCAATTCTACTTCTAAAAATGTTTCCTAAGGAAATAATTCAGAAGAAGAAGAAAAGTTGAGTAAAGATATCCATACATAAAGATGTCCGTGATTGTACTATCTATGATAGTGAAACAATTGGAAGCAATCTAAGTAAGAAGAGAAAAATGATAAATAAATTACAGGCAGTAAATAAAAAAATGATAGGTATTAAGTGTTTGAAAAGTGGTAATGTGCTTAAGAAGTTATAACATGCACTACGGCTATAATCATGTAATATAAATATCAGCTAGAGAACAACTGGTTCTGGGGCACCTGGGTGGCTCAATCAGTTAAGTGTCTGCCTTCGGCTCAGGTCATGATCTCAGGGTCCTGGGATCGAGTCCTGCATCGGGCTCCTTGCTCAGCGGGGAGTCTGCTTCTCCCTCTCTCCCTCTCTGCTCCTCCCCACTGCTGGTTCTCTCTCTCTCTCTCAAATAAACAAATAAAATCTTCAAAAAAAAAATAACTGGTTCCATTGTATTAGGGTAGTATTGGGTGACAATTTAGTTTTTGTTTTTGAACATAATTTTGATACTACCATAATGATGTTTTATAATAAAAATATCTTAATTATATCATATCATTATTTAAAATTCATACTACACTCTCAACACAATTTAAAGACCCTTTTAACTATGTAAAACACTGCTGCAATGTCACTAGCCAGCTGTTGTATGTAAAACATCAAGATCTAGTATCTTCTGTGACAGATGCGCAGTTAGAGAAATCAGTCTTAACTAAGGAAGCTATCAATACCTGAGTTATCTTCATCTTTGCGGATTTTGAGCTTCACCAGGTCTTCACACTGCTGGAGGATCTGAACTGCATCTTCCATTGAACAGTTGTCCAGCCGGATGTTATCTATTGCAAGTAATTTATCCCCGAGTTCCAGGGTGCCAGTCCTGTTAGTAAATGCAGAGCAACACATGATTAATGAGCACTTACCCGGGTCATTTAAGAGGCATTAAGAATAATGTAGCATTATGGCAGCCTTTAGAGGAAGAGAGGTTCTTCAACTCTTTTTAAATTGCATTTTATTAACAAATCCTTTTTTTCCAGTCTTAGTTTGGATGGCTGCCATGACATTACATTTCAGAGTATTAAAAACTTTTTTTTTTTTTTTACTGGTTTCTTGAATTAGTCTAGTACCACTATATACGCTTCACTCAGGAATTCTAAGTTTCCTAGCAAGGGAGGTAATGGTGCAGGGTTTACGGACACTGTGTGTCCTCATGCTTCTCCACATTGTTGCACTACTTTTCACCCTTGGCAGTCCAGGTACTAGGAAAGGGTTGGGAGAGAGAGGGAAGTCATGGTGGGCTGGACTTCGCGGAGGTCTGACTCTTGGTGTCCCTGCCATTTCCACCTGCCCCGGGAAACCCATGGCCATTGAGAGTCTAACACTGGCACTGGACCTTGGCAGGTCTGTTGAAAATTTTTAAGGTCCATCATGAAATGAGAAAAATAGTGAGAATATGTATGTGTTTGTAGGCACATGTATGTATACGCATACATATTTGTAAGGAAGGTTATGTTTTGGTAAGAACTATCCTTTATGCATTATGTCTGTGGCAGAGACCGGTAATTGCTTTCAGCTTCTAGCCTCCTCTCTCTTCTTCTGGGTCATTCCCTGAAGATGCACACCCCAGACTCTCTTAGTACCACTCCCACTTCCTTCTGTGGCTAGAAAATTGCAATAACTGGAGCAAAGTGGTGAGGATGGCAGAGTTGTCTCCCCAGCCCCGCACTGCCTGCCCACCTCCCAACTGTTACATGAGACACACACTGCAGACTTGTTTGTCCCAGTCTATTCATGAGTCTCCCTGTCATCGGATCTGAGCCTATAGCTATATACCTAAACTCATACAATGTCCTTTCTATTTACTGAGCATTAAAATATGACTTTAATGAAATGACTATCATAATAGATAGGGTATTAAAAAAGTCCTTAATTGCACAGGAGAAAGTTAACAGTCTTATTTCAGTATTCCCAAAGATTTAAAAATATTTTTGATCTAGGGGCACCTGGGTTGTGCAGTGGGTTAAGTGTCTGACTCTTGGTTTAGGCTCAGGTCATGATCTCCGAGTCGTATGATCCAGCTCTGCGTTGGGCTCTGCTCCAGTCTACTGGAGATTCTTTTTCCCTCTCCCCCTGCCCCTCCAGCTCATGCTCTCTCTCTCTAATAAATGAATAAATCTTTAAAATAAATATTTTTGATCTGTGAAATCAAAAGTTTGAGACTCTCTGATTTTGACGGTATATGGACCAAATAGAAGACAAACATTGTTCAAGGCTCAAGGATCTGGCTTGGCTAGGGAGAACATTCTGGCATCTAGCAAAGCTTTTCCACAAGCTATAATCTCCACGTGGGGTGTTTCTCATAATTTCTCTTTTTAGCTGGAAAATGAAGGATGGAAGATGATCAGGACTCAGGAAGGACCCTAAGAGATATTTTCAGGTGATTGTTGTCTGCATTGGGTACAGAAATAAATTTATATAAGGTGGGAGAGCTACGAAGTCACTGCATGAGGAATGTTAAATAGGATCGTTTAATAGTGGCTGTCTGGAAAATACTAAGAATACCATGATCCATTAGCAAGGTCTACCTTGGGTGTGGAAAGGGTCATTTCCACTTTATTTTTTTAATTTTTTATTAGACAGAGAGAGAGAGAGCACAAGCAGGGGGAGCAGCAGGGAGAGGAAGAGGGAAAAGCAGGCTCCCTGTTCAGCAGGGAGCCCGATGTGAGGCTCCATCCCAGGGCCCTGGGATCATGACCTGAGCCGAAGGCAGACGCTTAACCGTCTGAGCCACCCAGGCGCCCCTCATTTCTACTTTAATTAAGGAATGCCTTACACCTGGCTGGCTCAGTCGGTAGAGCATGCAACTCTTGATCTTCGGGTCATGAGTTCGGGCTCCATGTTGGGGGTAGAGTTACTTAAAGAAAAAGAAATGCCTGGAATGAACCAGAACATTCATTTTCCTTACCTGTGTGCCACACTTCCTTTCTTGATATCTGATATGACAAGGGGATCTCCTGGTTTTCTGCTAGATGGTGCTGTAATAATGAAGTTAGAATAGTCACACCTTTATATCCATAATTCACCCACACCATACATTTCCTGTTTTATAGCAATGGTTAATGCAAGTACAGTTTGTATGCAAAGCAAAGATGTTCAGCAAATGAATTAGAAAATGTGCACATTACCTCTTCTTGATATAAAAATGTTTGTGTTGAAGTATTTATAAACTTAAAAACTAAAGCCAAGTCATTTTAAATTTGCAATTGGAGAAAGCAATTGCAGAGCTGCGCATCAGGTTTAAATCTATTTCAACTTGTGATTCCCAAGAGAATGGTGAATACCCCAATAGGAGACTATCAGAAGCAACTGGGGGCTCCCCTTAGTGGTATTCATATGTGCTCCCTTCTCCCACTTCTTCCTTCACTTCTTTTTGGTGAGGAGACACCACTTTTTATGGGACTGTGCCATATTACTCAAGCATACAGTGTTGGAAAGTGCACGAGATGCACTGATTTAAAGTTCTTTTTTTTTTTTCATAAGGAAATCTTTTGCTGGATAGACTGTAAATCTTAAAAGTTTGCTTACACATTTATACCTAGAATGCTCTGAAGTGTTCTGGAATGTGAATATTTTATTTTATTGACAGTAGTAAATATTTGACTTAATTATATTTTTATACATATTTGCATTCTAAATATGCACATATAACTTTTATTGAGTTTACAGATTATTCTATTATCCTGCACAGTGGTCAGTTTTTGGCTTTATAACTTCTCTCAGGGATATTTCCATTTGATGAGAATGAAAAGCAGTTTTGAGTCTACTGTAGAATTGATCCTGAAAATGAGCTATAGTTCACATAAGTACAAAAATATCATCTTGATCTAGAAAGTTTACATTTAATTTAGGTGTTTGATAATTAAAATAACCCATACTGACATTTATAAAAAAAAACAATTTGCCTCTGAGAGGAGATGTTTTGCCAGTTTGAAATCTGTAGTGATTTCCTTTTAAGGATCATTAAGAGGCCCCTAAAGTAACACTTTATTATAAACATAAGGAATTTGAATTTCTTACCATGATCACCCCATAATAATCATAGAACCATATCATATCCCATAATCCCATCTGAATCCCAGGAAAATGTTTATGCATAAGAACAGATGGTTTAATATCTCAACACAACATTGAAAGAAAAAGCAAATACATATACCAATACCTTACCCACTGTCTAAACTAGCCCATAGTAAATATTAATGGGACTTCATTCAATCATTATTCTTAGCTTCTAGCAAAGTATGCAAAACATTCTATTCACTACAATTAATTCATAATTTAAACCTCCACTCAATGATTTGATATAATTCCTCCAGAGAAATATAAATATTTAGCATTTTTATACATGTCATATTTTACAAATGCAAATTGTTTTGGGCATAGGGCTCAAAGACAAAAACTTTGTTATTACCAGAAAATACAACTTTTTTAGCATCTGCCAATGATTTTTACTCTATTTTGCCAAGCTATAGTAACCATCACAGAGCATTCAATGTTTCCCCTGGTTTTTAATAAAATCCACGTTCCACTGAAATGGTCTGAAATGAAACAATAGTAGAGGCAACAAAATACATCAAACGCATCCCTGTCATCTTTGCAACAGAGGAAAATAGCACTGGGGCCTCTTGGAAACACCCACACAGCTTTGCAGAGAGGTTTGAAAGTTATTAAGGCATATGGACACATATGGTGGCCATTCTCACGTTTACTAGATTCTTCTCCTTCTCCTTTAACCAAGACCATAACTGAGGTTTGAAAAGCTTATCAGGGTAGATGCCCACTGGAGTGATGAAGTTGAACCCGGAAGTGGGTCCAAATCTGTACGAGGTCCTGGCACTGTGGCTACCGTGCCTACCAGGCGTGTTAAATGTGGCTCAGGGGGTGCTCAGACATCGTTTGCATACCCCAGTACCTATGTTTTAATTCTCCACTACCTGAGAAGAAGTCACAAACCAAGCACGCTTTGCTTGACTTGTAGTGCTTCAAAAAATTAGAATAGTTGCCAGCATTTAAAAATTAGTAGATTTCATGCACATGTATAGCATCTTTTAAAAAAATTGGAGAGGCAGTATGGTAGAATGATTAGGAGCTGGGACCTGGCAGCCAGAATGCTTGGGTCCAAAATCCTGGCTCTGCCACTTATCAGCCATGTGCGTTTGAGTGCATAGTCTTTAGGCACCCAAGTTTTCTAATCTGCAAAAGGAGGTGAAGAACAATAATAGTGCTTATCTCAGAGTTTTTGTGGCAAGGATTGAGTGTTTACATTAAAGCCATCTGATCGGACCAGTGCACATGCAATGCACCATGTAAATGTTTACTTTTATGATTATCTAGCAACACTGGACACTTTCCAACTCCCCCCTTTGGATGGAGCCTTCAATTTCCCATTTGCCACTGTCCTCCCTGGATGGATCTCATTCACTGACATGCCTCACCCCTGAGGGCTTCTGAATTTGTGACCCTTTGAATGAGAATACACTAGCACTTAATGCTTCGAATTTGATCGAAGTTCTCCACAGAATCATTTGTTTAATACATATTTATTGACACTAACCATAAGCTAGGCAGCTCTGCTCTAAGCACCAGCCATGAAACCCCATAGAAGTTGCATAAAATGGGGGGGGGGACAGGAATGGTTAAATCTCATGAAGTTATTAGCCATGAAACTCTCTCTTTTGCAAAGTGAGTCTAGCTGGGAAGGCCATACAAACCATCATGTGGTGGGGAGGTTATCCTAAAAGGGTCAGGAGTGTAGGCTAGCAAAAAAGAGTAGCACATGGTTATTGAGTTCTGTAAGAGATAAAATAGTTTCACAACTGCTTGAAATCTCAATGTAAACTGGTCAAATGTATAGAACCGCTGACAAAGGACAAAGAACAATGACACAAATGCCGTGTTGTATGATATACATTAAATTTAAAATACTGCCTTTTCCTTAGTCATAGTTCATAAAATAATTTTAATTCAAATTCTTCTATTAGTTGTTTTTGTTTTATTAGAGCTACATTTTTGAGTCATCTACAAGTTTTTCAAAATTCATCACTTTCCCGTCTTTTACAGCTATTTTGCAATCCAACAAGATGATGTCACTAGAAATTTTATCCTAAATCACAAGTACCCATTTGTATAACATCACAATGATTGATTTTTTTTTCATGCTTCTCATAGATGTACATTCTTGATCCTCACAAGAAAACTCCCTACCATGTTATTTTTTAAAATTTACTTTTTTACCCCTTTATTTTTATCAAAATTATATATGCATACAATTTGAAGAGTCAAATTTCTCCAAGAGCAGCCCTTCATTTCTTTTTTTTTTTTTTTTAAGATTTTTATTTATTTATTGAGAGAGAGTGATAGAGAGAGAGCATGAGAGGGGGAGAGTCAGAGGGAGAAGCAGACGCCCTGCTGAGCAGGGAGCCTGATGCGGGACTCGATCCTGGGACTCCAGGATCATGACCTGAGCCGAAGGCAGTCGCTTAACCAACTGAGCTACCCAGGCGCCCTGGCCCTTCATTTCTTACTTCCCCAGATGCTGTTGCTATATTGCTAAATAACATACATATGTTACTATTTAATTATTTTTCAGTGCTAATTATTTACCTTCTGTTATGAAAGATGCTATACCAGCACCATATTCACATATGTTTCTGGTCCTGTGGGCTCCCCACATTCTTCCAACACAGTTTTGTCTGAACTTTTTATAAGATCAATATTTGTTATTTTCCTCAGTATGACTACGTAAACAGTATTCACAGACAAGTCATGTAGCATACTGTGACTACTTGCCTTTTCTTAGGATATATTTTCCCTGTAGTTGTTTATTGTCTTGGTGTCTTTGTTTAGTTTTCTTGTATTAATCATGAATTCAACTCCTCAGATCCCAGGTTACATAAATCTTCTCTTGGTATGACAAATCATATCAGGGTTTCTAGCAGAGGTTTACAACCTGTCCGCACTGTTTGCTTTCTAGGGTTGCTGCATAGATCTTAGGAACTTCCTTCCCACAGACCCTGAAAGATGTTCTCTTGACTTGTGTTACACTAATTAAACAAGGAGGCCATTAGACTGAGGTGGCTCTAAAGCTGTGATGGTCTATAGAAGCGACCCAAAATCTAAGCCTGTCAATGCCTCAAAGTTACAAAATCAAAATGCTACGGAAAACCAATCACAAACAGCCAACTAGGCTTTAAGCTACAGCCAACCAATAATTTCCTTTCTCTGTGTCTGTACTTTCTCTGTCTTCCCCCAGGCTCCTGTGGGTAGAGCACTCCTAACTCCTTCCAGTTTGGCGCTGCCTGATTTGAATCTATTTTTCCTTAAATAAACTCTTAAATTTTTAATATGCTTCCGTTTATCTCTTAACCCTGCTCTCTCGCATCCTTGGAGCCCTCCCACTGCTCTGTCCTCTTTCATCCTGTAAGGGTTATTATTTGGATATTGTGTCCTTTGGACTCAGCCTGTATACTTCTTATCTAAAAACTTGTTTTTTTCTAATTTCTGGAATTTCCCCTCACCTTTATTTTAATTTCTGCCATGTTCGTAAGTTCCAAGAGCTCTTTGTCCCCCTTGGTATGTTGTTTTAGACTAGTATTCGTTTCCTGCCTCCCATCCACACAATATCTTAGGTTGTTCCTGAACTTAATGAAACCTTGCTCCTTTTTACAGTTTTTTTCTTCCTGAATGTGCTGCTTCTGTTTTTCTTCTTTGTTTTTGGTGATAGACTTGCGTATCAGATTCTTCCCTCGGGTGTCTGCTTTTTCTCAGCTGTCTGTTCACATGAAAGATGCAGCCCTACAAAGCTGTTAGAAAGCTTGGTGCACCTGAGAGGGGTCTGCAGACTCTGGTCTTCCCTGGGTAGTTCAGGCCAGGCTGTTTCTTTGGGTCAGATGGCCCTGATTCTTCCTCCCACTTGGAGGGTAGTAAGCCCGGCTACCTGGCTTCTCTGGGCTTACGGAGGGGAAGACGACTAGCAGTC